CACAAAAGGTTGGGGGCAGTGGCGGGGGTAAATTGTAAGGGTTCATTCTTTCTCTAGGAAAACCGCTCAGTGAAAAGGATGGAATAGGTTTGAACTGTTGTTGTTGTTGTTGTTGTTGTTGTTGTTGTTGTTGTACGAGTTTCCTAACTGGTTTCTATTGGAAATACCGGTATTTAGTATGAATCACTGTACACTGAACATATTCAGCCTTGGTTCGAAATCAATCGGGAAAAAAAATTAGATGACCTTTTGATACAAAACACAGTAATTTCCAATTTTCTTGAACAGAGGAACGATATAGTTAAACGATCCAGTATCGAATTATCGTGGAATTTCTTTCATTCCTTTTTGACGTTCTCAGTCCATGGGTAATCATACAGACGATGCATCAATCCAGAAATCGTCCACCATCAATCCTCGTCCGGATAATCCCTTGACAAGGCATCCAACTTCTTGTCCCCAATCCACCGATAACCCCAGTCTAACAAACCGAACCGAACTGACATGTTTACTGACCCCGTCCATGAAATCGGTGTGGAACCAGCCGGGCAATCCGTTCGATACCAACAATGCAACTGCCGTAACAGACTTGCCACCCAATCGGTACCGACTGACAGATTTGGTCGAGTTCCCCAACACAGAACTGTCCGCGGATCAGTTCCATGCACACGAGCACGATGGGAATGACTCCAACGAAGGTGCATTCAACACTGAGTTTGCATGGAACATGGAACCGCTTCCAGTCTACGCGTTACCAGCGCGTTCGACCGCACTATCCGTTGTGCATGAGTGAATGAAAGAATGAATACGACCCTACGATCCTGGTTTTTGACTTTGTGTGGATCCAGCTGTGCAATCATCGGATTAGTTCCGTCAATTTGTGAATAGGAACTCATCAAAGTAACTTTTTAATCATAGTGAAAATACAAAATTATAACTTGACTTGCGCCTCATTCTGTACAACCGGTTTACCAACCTCTCTCCCCATCCACTCAGTCTTCCCTCCACGAAGAGCAATGTTTAGTGTGAATTTCAGCCAAAATATGCACGAATCATTTCATAGTTTGGTAAAATAAACATGAAAAATATTAGGACATTGACAGCTTTCGATCAGCTGTTCTTGTCACCATTCGTGCGAAATACGGAACTGTCGAATGCGCGGTGGGACAGGACGGTAGGATGATCGGATAGAAGGGTGGAATGTTATGTACTGCGCTTTTTTGTTCAACTGTGTCCGCGAGGTTCGTGTAATTGTTATCGTGGTTACCTTCTGGCTAATCGATCCTGGTTCGATTCTCGGGTCTCGCAGTTTTTCCCTCTATTTTTCCAATCGCAATTGGTAGTTGATGACCATCGTGTGGTAGAAAGAAAGAAGCCACTGTGGGTGGGATTTTGGACGATTTTGCATGCATTAGTGTGGGGCTTACAAACGCGGGGCAATCAATTTCTCCGAGGAAATCGAAGATGCGCAGCTGCTGATGACAGTATGCATCATTACGCCCTGGAATCTTTCACCGAAGAAAAAACGCAATACCGGGCAGGCAGTGAGCTAAGACTGGAAACAGACACAGAAATAAAAGTGTGAATTACGGAGCGTGGAACCCCAAGTTATTCGAGTTTACCGATATGATCGAATACTGGGTGTTTATTTCCAACACAGAAGGCAGAACGTTACCGGACCAGCGAAGACCGGTGTCAACGGCAACTTCACAGTATTTGGCTGACTTTAACCCTAGAGGGGAAGGCAACGGGCCAGATAGGATCAGCTATAATGAGTAGTATATGAATGACGATAAAATCCCCTACGACCGGTTTCGTGGTCCTTACTGCCCGTCAGATGTATGCGTATCCAGTAATCTTTTTTAGTCTGTTCATTCCTATACTTGAACTTCCGATGTGAATTATGCAATACAAACCTAATTTGCAGATCAGTCATGCCTATACTACTCATTGTAAAAATACTGAAAATTGTCCCTAGCGTCGAATTGGCTGAGGTTGAGATTGTGCGCATCCAACCCAGGACACCTGATACAAAATCATTACAATGCTTTTTTCGAGACTTGTTCATCTCAAGTCCACTCCCCCGAGCTGCAAATTAGGCTTGCATTGTCGAATCAGCTATTTCGGGGTCAGGGGGGGTGTAAAGAGCCTTTACGGAACGAAAAATGCATCCGACATTCGGTTAGACTGGAACCAGTTAGACTTGAACCTTTGAAAAAACTGTTGCAAAAATAGTTCATCCGTTCAAATCAGAGGACCTGACAAAATTGAATTGAGTCCATATTATCCACTTGAAATTTACTGGAAAAAGTACAATAGCATTGGAGAATAAATGAACAGGAATAGCTGATCGAATTACTTCGGGTCTATCTGATAACGACCCGGAGGATTCTCGATCCAACCGGCCCCGCATACTATTCGCTCTCAGAGAACTATGTGGTCTGATAGTCAAGGCAGCAGAGAATGTGGTCATCCCAAATTCTCTAACTTGTAGAGCGGAATCGGTCTAGCGATTTCACAGAATAGTTCAGCGATTCAGTGGTCTGGGCGAACGGAAGCAACTGCATCATCCGAGGTGTATCCGTTGAGCCTCCAAGCGAAATGAAAGGGACCGTGTGGTGATTGGATGTAAAGATAGATGTGTTTGGGCCGTTATACACGGTTGGCCATATCGAGTTTTAAGCTCTGAAGAAGATGAAGAAACAGGATGTAATAGTTTAGAAAGGTTATAAGAATTTCTAGATTCGTCAACGGTCATCATAGTACCAGGTCTGTAAAATTTGTGAAGTGGACCCTTTACTTTGGGACGCGTAAATAAAGT